ATATAATTTTTTTTTTAAATTGTAGAAGTGCGGCAGCCCCCAACCCCCAAGATCCATCATTGATTATGCACATTGATATGCCAACAACTGTGCACTATCACAGTTTTTTTTTTTTTTTTTTTTAAAAAAAAAGACTAACATTTTATTAATATATAAAATATTGCAGAAAGATGTCATTAGTCGGAGAGCTACCAACTAACCCCCAAAATAAAATATATACTTTATAGTAATATTTGAATAGGTAAAATGCCTACTACCGTTGGAGATGCTCTAATGATTAAACTCATTTTGCCTAGCCTTGAAAGCTAGCTACATGTAGCTAGTGAATATGAGTTGAGCTAAAATGCCTAATCATATGCCTAATGCATTGGAGTTGAAAAAAATGAGTTATACTAGGCATTTTAACTAACAAGCATTATATGCCTAGTGGGTTGGAGATACGTTTTCACCTCTAGTGAAGTGTAATAAAGATAATTATACGATAATCTAAAAAGACATAAAAAAAAAATTAAAAAAAAAAAAAAAGATAACTGTTTTTTAGATATTCTAATCATTGTTAATAAGATTTAGATTTGTCAATAAATATATAAAGAAGTGCTCCTTGTGGATGAATAATAAATAATTTTAATATTAAAATATATTTGCGTTATGCATCAATTACTGTGCACTATCAACAGTTTTTCTTTTTTAAAAATAAAATTATATGTATGTGATATCCCAATTTTTATTTTTATTTTTATTTTTTTGACAGAAAAGACTAACATTTTATTAATATATAAAATATTGCAGAAAGATGTCATTAGTCGGAGAGCTACCAACTAACCCCCAAACCAAGACAACACAAAAACAACAACAAAAGGAACCCAACCCTGATCTTAGTTTAAGGATCTGGGTAGGGGTGTGCACCAAATTCGCCAATCTGATCAAATCGATCAGCTCGAACTGAATTGAAATGTAATGATCGGTTGCAATTGAAAATTCAATCAGCCGTGATTGTAAAATTGTTAAAAAAATTTCAAATCAATTGGGGACGAGTATGATAAAGAAAGGGTTGACTAAATCGATCCAACCGATAAAATACAAACACGTCTTTTTCTGTTCTCTTAACTACTCTCTCATTTACGGTATCTCTCTCTCTTCCCATATCACCCCCTTTGATATTTCTCCCTCTATAAAGACAAACATTCATCTTTGATTTTCCTTCCTGAAACATTTTTCTTTTTTAATCTACCTCTATTGCTGGAAATCAATTGTAACAGTGCTGATTGACGGTCGTGATGATGCTATTCAACAACGACGATGGTGATGGTAGTACTCAACGAATATGGCAATGGTGTATGTCGATGGTGGCTATGAACGATTGTGATTGCCTTTTGAACTAAAGGTTTTGCCTCGGTCGATTTCGAATGGCTTGTGGGTTGGCATCAACTCAAGTGACAATTCTTCAATCTAATACATTCGGTTCGGTTGGCGGGTTGAGGATAAATCCGAATCAAACCGACTCGTGCACACTCCTATTGGAGAGTACTGTCTAAGTCTATAAGGTTCATTATAGGTTATGTTTTGATGATATAATTTTTTATTTTATATAATTTTTTGTGTCAAAAAAAATTATGTCGATCTGATAATCATAACCTATTCAATTTATTATGTTTATTACAAAAAAAAAAAAAAAGATTGCATATTTTAAAAAAATACACTATGGTCTATTTTTTTTTGTAAACAAATGCGATACATTTAATAGATAAAGATTATTAGATCAATCTAATTTTTTGTGAATAATATATACGAAATATTCTCACAAAATAAACAATTCAAATCATCAAAACGAAACTCGTGATAAACCCATAAGCCTAAACAACACCCTCCAATTCAGATCTTAAACCGAAAGAAAGACCAACCTTTAGTTTAAATTGTAAGAATTATCACTTTTATTTTTTTTTGGTTTATTAATTTAATAAAAACTAAGGTTGCGTTTGATAGAGTTTTAAACCTAGGATTTGATAATAGAGTTGTATTTTGAGTTTGTGAGTCACTACAATAAATAAGACATTTAGAGGCCAAATGTTTTGGTTTCTAAAAATGAAAATTTTGTTGCAAAAGGCATTTATGGACCAATATATATCGTCATAAGGATAGTAGCTAAAAGACCGTCTCAAAAAGTCCAAAATTGAGTATGGTTCGAATTGGATCGGATTGGGATAAAACTAGGACCAATCCGTTATTTACGGTTCTTAAAAAATTATAACCAATTCAATCCGTTTAAATCATAGAACCAATCCGAACCGATCCATTTAAAGCCATTTAAATATGGATTGGATCGGTTTAAGACCACGGATTCACATAATTAAATAACAAAAATATATATATAACACTTTAATTTCATAAAAATATAAACATGGCGTTATATTAGTTCCACAATAACAACATGTTTTTCTATGATAGTGACATACTGTTCTAGAATTTAAACAATCATAAGAAAACTGGTTTCATCATAAATATTTAGACCATTACAAATTAAAACTAAAAACTAACAAACAAAAGTAATAAAACAAGATATTATACGGTTTTAGGTTTGAATTTAGATTTTATATAGAATAAGAGAAGATACTATGGGGGAGGATGTATAATAAAAATATAGACTATTTGTATACGGTCCGGATTGGTTCCAATCCGGAACCACGGGGTTCAATCCGGAACCAATCCGTGGACTACGGATTTTTAATTATTCAATCCGGAACCGTACCGTGGATTCAAAAAACCAATCCAAACCTATCGGATTGGACTGGACTTGATCAGATTACGAATTTCACGGATTCCTTGCTCATCCTAGCATCAAGTGACAATTCTTCAATTTAATACATTCGGTTCGGTTCGGTTCGGTTGCCGGGCTGAGGATAAATCCGAATCAAACTGACCTGTGCACACCCCTACTGGAGAGTACTGTCTAAGTCTATAAGGTTCATTATAGGTTATGTTTTGATGATATAATTTTTTATTTTGTATAATTTTATGTGTCAAAAAAAATTATGTCGATCTGATAACCATAATCTATTCAATTTATTATGTTTATCACAAAAAAAAAAGAGTGCATATTTTAAAAAAATACACTACGGTCTATTTTTTTTGTAAACAAATGCGATACATTTAATAGATAAAGATTATTAGATCAATCTAATTTTTTGTGAATAATATATACGAAATATTCTCACAAAATAAACAGTTCAAATCATCAAAACGAAACTCATGATAAACCCATGAGCCTAAACAACACCCTCCAATTTAGATCTTAAACAGAAGGAAACACCAACCTTTAGTTTTAATTGTAAGAATTATCACTTTTATTTTTTTTTTGGTTTATTAATTTAATAAAAACTAAGTTGCGTTCGATAGAGTTTTAAACCTAGGATTTGATAATAGAGTTGTATTTTGAGTTTATGAGTCACTACAATAAATAAGAGATTTAGAGACCAAATGTTTTGGTTTCTAAAAATGAAAATTTTGTTACAAAAGACATTTATAGACCAATTTATATCGTCATAAGGATAGTAGCTAAAAGACCGTCTCAAAAAGTCCAAAATAAGGCTTTTAGCGAGAAAATTTTAAAAATGTCACTAATAAATAGACTTTTAGAGACAAAATAATGTGATCTTAAAATGGATTATTTTTTTAGACAAAATTTGATCCCGAAAGGATAATAATTCATCACTAATATCTAATTTTTGTAGCTAAAAATATAATAACGGCATTTTTCGAAACAAAAATATTTGGTCCCTAAAAAATAATTTTGTCGTTAAATTTTGAACTCTAAAACCTTAATTTTTTGTAATGAGTTTTGGAATTATGATTTAAAAAATGAAAATTTATTTGGTTATGAGTTTTAAAAAGAGATTTGAATTGAGTTTTAAATTTTTGATTTGACATATGAAATGAGAAAAGTTAATTGGTTATGAATTTTGGAAAAAAAAAATTCAAAACTTAATTGAAAAACTTATAATTTATAACCAAACACAAAACTCAAAATTCTATTGAAAATTCTATTGAAAACTCATAATCAAACTCATTTTAAAATTCAATTCAAAAAAATAATTTGTTATTTTGGTTTACAAAAATAATTTCTATATTTAAAAAATATCAAAAACAAATATAATTTTTTGTTTTCTAAACAACAGATGGCAATTGACAATTGTAAAAAAATATATATATACTATTTCGGTCAACCGACCGGACGACTAGACGAACATCCGAAAGGATATTTGGGTGGACGACCGGATAGAAAAAAAATTTAAAAACTGATAATTTACCGAATATGTTTTCAAAATATATTTTAAAATTAATTTGAAACCAAATATAGTAATAAAATGCCAGAGTGAAATTAATTTTAGAAAGTTAAACCAAACACCACCTAAAACTTTATCCTTTTTAAAATAGAAGAATTGAAGTATTTACACCCGCAAAATCCTATCCTTTCTATGAAACCCCAAGTTGTGTAATCCGTCAGCAGCAAGCTATGGCTGCCAAAAACTTGCAGGTAGCCATGTTCCCATGGTTTGCCATGGGACACCTAACCCCTTTTCTTCACATCTCTAACAAACTTGCACAGAAAGGCCATAGAATCTATTTCTTCATACCCACCAACACAAAACCCAAGCTTGAGCATTTCAATCTCCACCCAGACCTCATCACTTTCATTCCAGTCACAGTTCCACATGTTCATGGCCTACCTCATGGTGCTGAAACAACAACAGATCTTTCTTATCCATTGCACTCTCTCCTCATGACTGCCATGGATCTAACACAACCCTCCATTGAAGCTTCTCTGAAAGATCTCAAACCCCACTTTATATTCTATGATTTGGCTTACTGGGTACCAGCCATGGCTCGCGGTTTAGGCATCAAATCCATACTTTATAACGTCGTTAGCCCAGCAATGGTCGCTTACACGCTCAAACACGGGAAAAAACTCCATGAAAACTATGAGTTGACAGAAATTGATCTGATTCAACCACCAGTTGGTTTCCCACCTTCTTCTTCCATTAGACTAAGTTCACACGAAGCTCGTGGCATGGCTGGTCTAGGGCTAGATCAATCTGGTACTACTGGCATATCATTCACGGAACGCATTATAATATGCCGAAGTGACTCTGATGCCATCAGTTTCAAAACTTGTGCAGAGATTGAAGGGCATTTCTGTGATTATGTTGGAAAGCAGTATGGAAAGCCAGTCATCCTGGCCGGGCCGGTGGTTCCGGTGCAGTCAATTTCGACCCTAGAAGAACGATGGGAACGGTGGTTGGGAGGTTTTGAAGCAAAAACAGTGATTTTCTGTTCATTTGGAAGCGAATGTGTACTTGAAAAAGAGCAGTTTCAAGAATTGGTTCTGGGTTTGGAGGTCACCGGTATGCCCTTTTTTGCCGCCCTAAAACCGCCACTAGGGGTGGAGAAGATCGATGAGGCGTTACCGGACGGGTTTCAAGAGAGGACTAAAGGAAGAGGGGTAGTTCACGGAGGTTGGGTTCAACAGCCATTGATTCTAGCACACCCTTCTGTGGGGTGCAATGTGACTCATTGTGGTTATGGTTCTCTATTGGAGGCTTTGGTGTGTGAGTGTGCATTGGTGCTAATGCCACAATATGGAGATCAGATTATCAATTCAAGATTGATGGGCGGAGACTTGGAAGTTGGAGTAGAAGTGGAGAGAGGTGAGGAAGATGGGTTGTTTACCAGAGAAGGTGTTTGCAAGGCAGTAAGATTGGTAATGGATGTTGATAGTGATGTGGGGAAGAAGGTAAAGGCTAATCATAGCAAATGGAGAGAGTTCTTGTCGAGCAAAAATCTTGATAGTTCTTATATTAATGGTTTCATTCGGAAACTACAAGACATGTTGGGGTGATCTCATTTCGATAATGAAGTATGCATAATCAAAGAGAAAATATTGTTGAATTTACAAATTAAGAAGGGTTAATGTACTATGCATTTGTACCACCATGAATTATTTCGAAAAGTTTGTTATTTAAATTTGAATGGTTGGCTGGTTTAAATTTTCAATTCCAAGTCTGTAATGCTGTGTTCGGTTGAGAGATTTGAGGAGGAATTTGAAAAAGGAAAGAGAAAAGGTGTGTGAAACTATGTGAAATATATGTATATTTTATTCACATTTTATCTAATTTTTCCCTTTCCCTTTCCAAATCTCTCATCAAATCCCCCAACCAAACACAGCGTAACTGTAATTATAAGGAAATGCTGCTATGCACTCTCTTAGGATAAGAAGTTTATAAATTTTATCATATTTTCTCTTTAAAAATTATATGATTTATTTTTAAAATCATGTTATAAAAAAATATGATAAAATTAAATAATTATGGATATTAAATTGTCCTCATTTTTCCTTTGATCTTTTTTTTTTATTAGTTTTTTATAATTTTTTTTTATGTGTGCATGATCTATACAAAATAATAAATAAATAAGGGTAAATGACAAATATACCCTTGAGATTTGATTAAAATACGAATCTCCCCGGTGATTTTAAAAAATACATTCCATCTCCTAAGATTTTTAATTTTATAACAAATCGTCTCTTTTATTAATAAATTATCAACTCAATTAACAATTTTAATGATGTTAAAAATATGTTTTAATTAATAATTTAGGTAATTTTATTATTGTATAAGAGAGTAATTATGAATTTTATTTCTTTTAGTTAATTTTGTTAAATAAAAAATTTTAATAAAAAAATATTTATAAATTTTATCATATTTTCTCTTTGAAAATTATATGATTTATTTTTAAAATTATGTTATAAAAAAATATTATAAAATTAAGGGGTTTTTTTTTTAAGGTCCTTGATCTTATGATTTTATAGCATAAAGGACATCAAATATTTTTATGATGTCTAAGATCCATCAACAATATTTTCATAATGTCTAAGGTCCCTCAACCTTGATCCAGAGAAATTTCAGTCCAGAGAAAATTGGTCCAGAGAAATTTCAGTCCAAATTTCTCTGGAAAATCTAGAATTTCTCTGGTTTCAACCTAGAGAAAATTCAGTTAAAAAACCAGAGAATTTCTCTGGTTTCAACTTCAAATGAAAAAAAAAAAATTCAATTCACAATTTGGAACCTGGAATGCTTAATCTGGAATCCAGAGAATTTCTCTGGACTAGCATTGCTATTGCTTGTGGTGAACCCAACACAACTGCAATTGTTCCAGCACTTTTCCATACAATCGCTAATGCTTAAGCTCGAATTATCGTCACGGTCACTGGATTCGGCTGAGTTGGAAGTGAAGGCTCGGAGCAATAATGAGATGAAAAGGACTTTTACTTGACTACTTTGCCTCTTGTAGAACACAGAGATGCTGAGGTTTTGAACTCCAAGTTTATCTTCTTGTTCGACATCTTCATCAACCTCTATATCAGTAACTAAACAGCACAAATGCTGCACAAACTTTATTACCAAGAAACAACAACAATACCAAAAGCACACATGTACAAGAACATATCATTTGTGTAGTTGACAGATATAATACAAGCTGTAGAAGGGGAAATTGACAGTTAGACTCAACTAGTCAGAGAAAATTCGATCTAGAGACTCTAGACGAATTTTCTCTGGACTTCACAGAGAAATTCTAGTTTACAGAGATTTTCTCTGGTCCAATTTTCTCTGAACTTTACATTTCACAGAGAATTTCTCTGGTCGAATTTTCTCTGGACTTCACAGAGAAATTCTGGTTCACAACAAGTAGATGGCTGTCCACTAGAAGCAGAATCTTCCATCCATGTATGATGTGATAAAGGAACTTTTTCTCTGTCCATAAAACATACAAAAGAGCATCCAGAGTCTTCCATCCATGCATAATCTTCCATCCATGTCTGTCCACCAGTGCTTCAAAAGAGCATCCTGCAAAATAAGATCATTGCTCGCTTGTGCTTCTACATCTTGCTTCTCAGTCTTTTCAATTTCAGGAACTAAAGCATCTGTTTCAAACATAGAAGAAGTTGAAGTTTTTTCCTCCCCAAAACTCTTAGTCTCCCCAGGCTCTGAAACAGCTGCATCTCCTACAACCAGACATTTCATTTCTTGTTCTTTTGCATCTTGCTTCCCAGATTGATCATCACACTTGTTCATTGTAAGGTGCAAATCTAAAGCATTAGGGACAGAAGAGTAAGGAAAGTGTATGAAATAGACTGTAAAAGCTTGACGGAATAGTAGGGAAAACAGGGGATGATGAATTAAAATGAAATTGAAGGGGTTCAAGAACTTGAAACCCTAGAATGAGAAAGTGTATGAAAGAGGAGGAGGAAGAGGAACTTTGTTGATTATCGCCCTACATGTCCACAATTCCACTTCTTGGAGACCAATTAAGCATTCGACGAACGATGAGAGTGATGATTCATCGCCGATTGCATAGCAGCTTCACAATTGGAGTTTCTTGAGCTGTTTACAACTCCTCCAGAGCCAACTGAGGCCGTAATCGCAGTGTTGAATCCCGGACAAACCTAGGGTTTCTAATTGAAGTTTGGTTTCGGAGTTTCCGATCATTGAATCGGTCAAATTGAGTTTGTGTAAATCGAATTGTCCAGTGTTGAAGACGATCGAGAGGTCTTTCAGTGAGTGGAAAGAGATGAGCCAGTGAAACTTTCATCTGATATATGTTTAGGGACCTTAGACATCAAAAAATAATTTTGTGGATCTCTTCCATTACGAAAAGTGGAAGAGGGACCCTAGACCGATTTTCCCTAAAATTAAATAATTGTGGGTATTAAATTGTCCTCATTTTTTCCTTTTATCTTTTATTTTTTATTTTTTTATGTGTGCATGATCTATACAAAATAATAAATAAATAAGGATAAATTACAAATATACCCCTGAGGTTTGATTATAATACGAATCGCCCCTGTAGTTTTGAAAATTAGATTCCACCCCTGAGGTTTCTAATTTTATAACAAGTCGCCTATTTTATTAATAAATCATTAAGTCAATTAATAATTTTTAATGATTAGATAATTTTATTATTGTATAGGAGAGTAATTATGAATTTCAATTCTTTTAGTTAATTTTGTTAAATAAAAAATTCTAATAAAGGAATATTTCTAATTTTTTAAATTATAAGGAGTAATTTGTATTTTAAACAAATTTTAGAGATGCATTTATAATTTATCCAATAAATAAATAGTTTAGATGATTGCAATGAGAAATAGTGAACGTACATGAGTCGAAATAATGTCATCCAGTTCAATAAGGGCGTGTTTGATTGGAGGATAGGGGGATAATTGAAAAGAGGTAAAATAGTCTTTTGTTCATTTATCCTATCCAATCCGTCCAACCAAATATTAGATTCACTAAAAATAGTCATTTCCAGACATCTAATCTCATGAGAAAATAAACACAGGATACATATCTAATATAATCAAATAGTCCGGAGGATTCACAGTTCTAGAATTCAAGTCCGATAAATTCTAATTCCTCTTTATTCAGCCCATTCAATCAAACACACCCTAATTGTACCAGCGGCAACTATTCTCTTCCTAAATAATTGAAATGGTATGTTTATGAAAGAATCTCACCCACTCACTTCTACCATTTATTCTCTTAGTTCAGATGGGAGGATGCTATTTGGGTTCGTATAGCATATCATTGATCATGTTTTGACGATTTGAATTATTAATTTTATTAGATATTTTATATATTTTATTTATATAAAAAATTAAAATAATTTAATAATCATAATCTATTTAATTTATTGTGTTTCTCACAAAAAATAAATAGTACATTTTTAAAATTATAATTATTCATCTATTTTTTTAATAATAAATGCAATGAATTGAATAAATTATAAATATTAGAACAATTTAATTTTTTTATAAATAAAATACATAAAATATCTAATAAAATAAATAATTTAAATTATCGAAATAAAATTCATAATTACTTCCATGAGCTTTTTATGTCCCGAGTTTATACCTGAATTTAAAAGACAATCCCAACCCTACTAATATATAATGGACTTCACCATTTATATATATAGATATATATTTAATGCAAAGTGGGGCTACTCCAGGGACCGTTGCATGAATAAATTTTTTCTTTTAAGTATGTTTATTGACTAACAGTTGGCTCGTGCAATATACATATTGTTTCTTTAAAAAAAAATATTTGATGGTACAATATGTGTTATAAAATAATAATTTTAATTTTAATTTTAAATTAAAATAAAAATTAAAGTATGATTTTAATTATTTATTTTGATAATATTGGCGTTATCGTTTTATAAAATTATTACTTGAATACTTATATATATAAATTTTAATTAAATTATTTATGTATTTTGATAATTTTAGTTTTATCGTATTATAAAATATTTTAAGTAAATTTTTTTTTTCTTTTTTCACCCAAAATAAAAACACCCAAAAAATAAAAAAATTTGTAAAAAAAAAACTTTTAAAAATTCACTGAATGCCAAAAATATAAAAAAATACAAGAATTCAGTACATTTTTTGTATTTATTAATTTTTTAAAATATTTTTTCACAAATTTTTTACTTTTTAGATACATCTAACTAATGTGTATCTAAAAAAGTAAAAAAAAAATGTTTAAAATTTAAAAAATATTCACTAAAAAAAAAGAATATGAAAACTAAAAAATTCAATTTTCAAAAAACTTAATCCAGAAAATTCAAACCAAACACACTGATTAATATTTTTTATATCAATACCAATGTATAAAACGGTGAAGTATTGAACCGTGCTCTTTGGGGTGCCTCTATTTACACACCTCATCTGGTCTCAAGGCACACCACTATTCAGTTCACACCTTTAATAATTTGAAAAAACATATAGCTTGTTTGGTTCTGATTTTCAGAAAAATCTATTTTTTTATTTTTTGTATTTTAATGTTTTCAATGAATTTTTTTTTTTAATGTTTTAGTAGTTTTTTTTTAAAAGTTTTAGACACACCTAACATAAATAGACTTAAAAAGTATAATATTTGTGAAAAATATTTTTAAAAATTAAAAAATATAAAAAA